TTAAGAAAAACTCCATACATGTCTAAGAAAATAATTACCTTAATTGTTTAATTGACTACCCAGAGTGGAACAAAAACCAGAAGACCCAGGATGGAGTTGTGTACTATAGACACTACTTATCTCTGATCATAATTAACTAGTGTGCAGTTTTCAATGTAATAAAGTTTAAACTTAATTATTAAAGAGATCTTCTGTACCTGGGTCAATTAAGCAATTGAGGCTTGGTACAGAAATCAGTTTATTAGAAGGTTAGTGGGGCAAGGTTAAAGAATATCTCACAGAAAAATGTCGTAGAAATAAACACATTTCTTAAGTATGAGACACGTCCAGTCAATAAAAGAAAATTAAGATTGGAACAAAGCTGTTGTTTACACAAGAAAAAAAACTTGCTCTTCAGATCAAAATGTGAAAGAAAGCATGCTAAAATATTATTTATTTATTAAATACTGTATTTATTATATACTACTAATTACCGGGTTATGTGACAGAGAAGAAGAATGTTTCAAATGTTGTACGTTTGGATGACAAATTTGGCTGACATGCAGCTTTAGATCGTAAAACATACCTTGTTGTTGGTTTCTGATTTTTAAGTACAAGCAAGTTAGTCCAATTCCAATTCCAATTCCAATACCAAGGCCCAAAAGAAGTCCAACTCCGCCTGGCTCTAGCCAGGAGGGCACAACGACTTCAGTCTGAATATCTGGACAAATGAATCAGAACAAAAACAATTTGAGTGCTATAGCCCTGTTGTCCCTAATGTTTATCATTAGCAGTGCACCCTGTAATGTGGCTGAGACCTTAATTCTGATTAAATCATCCACATCAACATGCTTTGATGTGAAAAACACAAGCAGAATATCACTGAAGACGAGAGATTGTGTCTAGAAATGTACATGTGTTTTCATGTCTACTAATTTACAGTAACCAAACAATTTGCTGCCCTTTGCATTTTCTTTTGCTTTCTCTAATGTATTTTAATGGAAATGTGAGGCACGCATATCAATTTTGAGCACAAAAAGGCAAAAAGGAAACATTCAAATATTTCTTACCTTTAGCATTTGCAAATGAATCTGTCAAACTGTTGGACTGCCAGACTGGATTACTTCCACTTCGATAACTACCACTTTGTGGTAGACCTAGAAATGAAGAACAACATCTGTTGGACTGTATGTTATAGGATTTCCATCCATCCATTTTCTAACAGCTTCATCCAATCCAGGGGAGCCACAGCCTATCCCAGCATGCAACAGGCACAAGGCGGGGTTCTCCCTGGACAGGACACGAGTCCGCCACAGGACACACACACACAGACACAGACTCGGACACAAACTCACACCAGGGCCACATTTCCCAGGAGCCAATTAACCTACCAGTATGTCTTTGGATTGTGGGACGAAAACAAGACACCTGGTGAAAACCCACACAAACACAGGGAGAACACACAAACTCCACACAGACAGCACCCCAGGAATTGATCCCCAGGCCCCAGGAACCCTCAATGACTGCAGCAAAAAATATGGTTGCTAAAAATGGATGATACATAGTGTGCCACACAATGTTGTTTTTTTCTCTTTCACGGGTAATTACTTACTACCTAGCATGTTTTTGTGGGCGCACTCTTAACATTATTATGTAGTTCATCATCCATCCTGAGGAGGGCAGCACCTGTCCATGATGAACCCTAACATACCATTCACAATTGCTTCAGGCAAATACGCTCATATTAGCAACGTGTTCAAACAGCATGATTCCACATCCTGGAGTGGCTCAGGGAGGCCACCTGGCAAAAACCTGTTTGGATTTCAGCCATTTCACTGAGAGACAACACAGCCAAGCAAACACTGCCTACCACACCTGTGAGTCCGGGAGGCATTAAGGAAGGAGAAAGGGGTTGAACACACATCTCACAACCCTGACCTAACACCCAGTAATTTCCAAATCTCTTTGGACCCTTAGTGATATGCCTGTATCATATTGAAGTGGTAAAAAGGACGGCTCTCAGGATAACAGGAATAGGGAACACATCTGGATTTATGTACTGCAGCTGTTTCAGACACCGCAGCTGTTTCAGACACTGAATTCCCCCCTTAGGCTTCCAGTGGAGAGATTACCTGCCAGAAGAATTGTCTAAGAACCGAAACATACAGTGTTGAAGCCACTCCTGAAGCTACAACAGCTTATTTCTAAGTAGATGTATGTTTCTCAGTCTAGGTAAGGGACTGTGATGTTTTCAGTATTGTTTCCCTTTTCTTGGTTCTGACTGAAGTCTTGCTACCCAAGATCATGTTGCAGCTGTCTGGATCCTTACAGCTCGCCTTTATTCATTCTTTCCCCATAAGTCATCAATTTGTTCACACATGCTACGGATTTCTGCTGTAGCTGAAGAAAGTGGTTAAATCCTGGTCTCAGCAGAAGGACATCTGCCATACCATGTTAATCACGAGGCTTATGACAGGACTAGTGACATAACACGTCTGAAAGTAAAACCAAAATACAAACTTTCTTCTTCAATATGCTCAGTCTGTTTCTTCTGCTCCTGAAGGTCTTCCATGTACAGATGAGCTACAGGAGCAAGAAACAACAAAAGGAAACTCAGGTGGTGAGAAAAGCAGCAACTCTTTTACTACTGCCGCACTGTCTTGTGTGCTATCCTGTCTG